CCCTGGACAAGGGATTCTGAACTTGGCCAAGAGTGAGGAAACTAAGCTGAGCATAAGCAAGCATACCTGCATGCATACATTTCTTTCTGCTCTTGACTCTGGAAGTGATGTGACCAGCTGCTTCAAGTTTTTGCCTTCACTTCCCCACAGTGATGGACTATAATCTGGAACTGTAGGCTGAAATAGACTATTTCTCCTCTAGGCTGCTTTTTATTATTATTATAAGTATTATTTTTATTCTTATGTATTATCATAGCAACAAATGTAACAGTTGCATCCTATAACTTCTGGTGTGGCTGGATTTCAGCCCATCATGCATTCTTGTTCCTATTTGTCCTCCCTGACTTCATTTCTTTTACTCCCTGTCTGCTTTCATTTGAGCTATTACTTATTTATTTATTTTTACTATTTTATTCATTTTATCTCTTAGCTTCTGGCTCTAGCTCCAGAATTTCTGTTTGCCTTTAGCGGTTGATCTTGGATTGCAACAAACACATTTAATTTTTCACAATGTATTAAAATTAAAAAAGAAAATGTTTTTTTGAGACAGAGTTTCTCTGTGGAGCCCTGGCTGTCCTAGAACTTGCTCTGTAGACCAGGCTGGCCTTAAACTCACAAATCTACCTGTCTCTACCTCCCCAGTGCTGGGATTAAAGATGTGTGCCACTACTGCATTGCTAAAATTAAATTTTATTTACTTATTATGTGGCTCCATGCATAGTACGGACGTTGTGTGGAGGTCAGAGGACAATTGTGGGAGTTGGTTCTCTCCTGTCACCAGGTGGGTCCTGAAGACTGAACTCAGCTCATCAAGCTGGCCAACAGGTGCCTCTTCCTGCTGAGCCATCTCAATGGCCCCACAGCATGTTTAATACTACCATTTTAATACTACTTGTGAAATGCAGAAGCCTTTGGGGAGCATGTGTGCTGCTATAGACAATAACACCTCTAAGAAAAATACACATTTTATGGTTTTTTTTCTCACGCAGGGCTTGGTATTGAACCTGGATCCTTGCACATGTAATTTTTTTTAATTATTATTGTCTTAAACATAAGGGTTGAGAACTTCAATACTGCACTTTGTAGTTTGATTTTCATTTACCATTACTGCTTATCTATCTGCACCACAGGCAAGCAGTGTCCTCAGAGGCCAGTGGATCCCTGGGAACTGGAGTTACAGGTAATCATGAGCCACCTGTGGGTTCTGGGGGACTTGAACCCAGAGCCTCTGGGAGAGCAGTAAACACTGTTAATTGCTGAACCATCTCTCCATCCTCAATTCCATTCTTTTTTAACATTTACTTATTTGTGGGTGGGTGGGTATGTCCATGCTACAGCAACTATCTTCTTCCACCATGACAGTCCTAGGGATCCAACTAAGATGTCAGGTTTGGTGGCAAATGCCTTTATTTGCTGATCCATCTCACTATGCCTAGTTCTCGTATGATGGCAGAAATAACTGTACAGTGTGTCAGATTAATAAGTAGACTATAAAGAAGAAATATACTTACCTATGAGCACAGGGTATAATGATAATAATTTTATATTTTTTGGTAGTTTAAGTGAATTTTTATCTACGTTTTAAAAAACAGATCTCATTTTTCCTTAAACAGATGTAAGAGAAATAAGTAAATTATGATTCCATATCCAATAAAGCTCTTATGAGATCTGAATTTATTAATCTGTATAAAAGTCTTACAGCATTTAGTAGCAAATGTTTATATAATATCCTTATTGCTTATACCCAAGTATTTCTCCATCTCTTCCAGAATTTACACACACACACAAAAAAAATACTATGGTAGCTTCATGACCAGACCTGCCAATGAGTAAAGAAAACCTCTCCCCTGAGAAGAGAGGGTTTTGAGAGAAGAAAGGATGCAAGTTCTACCCGTATGTGTTAGTTACTGTTCTGTTGCTATGATAAACACCATGACTAAGGCGTCTTGTGGGAAGAAAGTGTTTATTTTGGCTTTCGATTCCAGGGGCTTCCATAATGATAGGGCAGCAGGTGGCAGGCATGGCAACAGGAGCAGAAAGCTGAGCGCTCCCATCCTGAACCGAAAGCACAAAGCAGAGACAGCAAACTGCAGAAAGGTAAAACCTTAAGTCCTCTGAAACCTGACCACGCCTCCATGACGTACTTCCTCCAGGAATACCGGAGCACCACCTAAACCTCCGCGAACAGCACCCCACCCCCGTGGATCAATTATCCAAAGGCTAGAGAGCCCGGGGTCATTTCTCCTTCAAACTACTGCACCACATTCTCTGCTGCAGTTTTCAAATACACGATTAAGAAGGCAAGATGCTGGGAGGGAACAGTACCAGACTTCAGAACCCCCGCCCTCCACAACGCACAGCGGACTTTGCAAACAACAGCTGGGAAGGATTATCTCAACAAACCGAAAACAAGTCATTAAGGATTTTTGGTAGAGGTGTCAGGATGGGGCCGGGGAACCTACAGCAGGCGCTCTGGGACAATCCGTGGGTCTCTGTAGCTTCCAGGGACCGGGGTGCTTCTCTGAAATTTGGAAAGCACTGACAGCAAATGTCCCAGCTCCTAGCACGCGCCAGCTGTCTTGCAGGAAACTCAAGATCGCTTCTGGGAAGTTATCAAAGCAGAGGCAGAGATGGAAGAGTCTGAACTCCACGGCTGGGCTGGGGCACACAGCGCCCAGGAGACCCTCCTCCTGACTGACAAGCCCTGGCCAGGCCTGAGGCAGTGTGTGCAACGGCGGCACGCGCAAGCAGGCTCACTTCCTTCCCCAGGGTCCACGCCAGGTGGACAACCTGAAAAGGATCCGGCAGATGCGGGAGGGGTCAGCAGAGGGGAGGGCTCACCTTTCTGAGAGTAACAGGCCGCGGCCTCGCACACCTGGGGCGGAAGTGGCTCTTCCCACAGACGCCTCCTGGACTACATTTCCCAGAATTCCCGAGGGCAGAGGCGAGGCCACAGTCTTGTGAATAGGAAGCTATCCTTGCACCCCGGGGATTTTCGGACTACAATTTCCAAAATTCCCAACCGGAATAGAATGGCCCTCTAAGCGTCCTGCGGCGGAAGTTATCCCGTTATCCCGAGGATGTGCGAGTCCTGGACTACATTGCCCAGAATTCACAGCTTCATCCTCGCCTTCCGGGAGCGGAAGTGCCTCGGAGTGAGGAAACTAAATTGGATCGCAAATCTTGGAAGTCCAGAAGAGCGTGCTTCGCGTTCCTGAAGACAAAGATCTGCCAACCGCGAAGCTTTCCTTGCTTTCTGCGGAAGAGTGTGTGTTAAAAGGCGTTTTCTAGAGAACGTCAGGGACTGGGCGGCCTTTCTGGGCTACAGTTCCCGCCAGTGGGCTTTCCATGGTCCTGAGTTTCGGATTCTCAGCTTAATTCTACTGACTGATATTACTACTTCGGCTCCCCAACCTTCAGCCCTTTGCAATCTTGGGAAGAAAAAAATTTCAAACGTGACACTCAGGCGAGCTCAGCAGAGCTACTACTGCCTACCACCCACACAGTCCAAGAAGTTACCCTATAAAAATCATGGAGGAACTTGGAATACACAAAAGAAGGGAAAGAAAATGAAGTCATACAAAGGAACCGAACTAATCATTTTAAATACTTTTTTAACGTGTATGTGTGTGCTTGAGTGTATGTATATGTACCATTTGAGTATAGTGCCCAAGGAAGCCAAAAGAAGAACGTCAGTTCCCCCAGAACTTTGGCTTACAACAGTGTGAGTTTCCTGATGTGGTTGCTGGAACCTAAACTCAGGTTCGCTGCAAAAGCAGTATGTGTTTTTAACAGCAGGCCATCTCATCAGCCCCCTAGGTTTGCATTTTTTAAAAAGATGTATGTGTATAAATATGTATGTATGTGGAGGACAGGGGCAACCTGCAGGAGTCAGTGCTCCCTTCCACCATGTGGCTCACAGGGATCAAAATCAGAAGATGGCTAGGAATGAAAGCAAGCATCCTTAGCTGCTGAGCCATCTCACAAGCCCCACAATAAAGCTATTGAGCAAATGATAAAAATTACTCAACTGATCTGTTTAATTAGTAATTATTTTTATGGTAAAATTCTTGGGACCAATAAACCACTAGCCACTAACTGGCAAGACTGGATCACTCATATAGTCAAGGCCAAGTAGCCTAAAACAGAAGCACATGGGCAGACCTCCAGTCACTCAAATGCCAGCTTCAGGGCATGTTATGGGTACCAAGCATACCCGTATGTGCAAAGATATACCTGTGAGCAAGACACTTATACACGGAATAAATACATCATTAAATAAAAATAAGCCAGGTATGGTCACACATGCCTTTAACCCTAGCACTTGAGGCAAGGGAAGGCGGATCTCTGAGTTCTAGCCTGCTTGGTCAACAGTGTGATCCCCAGGGCAGCCAACAAAATACAAACCCAGCAAATTGCCCTCGTAACTCCATGTGTGTAGAACACCACGTGAACTCCTCCACAATAAATAAATGAGAGGGAAAACCACCTCAAAACTGAAACATTCTTTCCTAGATTTTAAAATGTTGTGTATGAGTGCTTGCATATGAGTGTGTGCATCACATGTGTATCTGGCGCCCAGGGTGACCAGAACAGGGTGCTATATCCCCAGAACTGCAGTTATGATGGCTGTGAGAACGTGGGTGCTGAGCAGTGCACCCAGCAAGAACAGCAAATGCTCTTTTCCACCGGGCCACCTCCCCCAAGCACCATGCGCACTCCAAAAACTCTGAGAGATACCAGAGGACATGTTACCACAGGAGGGGAGAGTAACACCTTTGGGAGCGTTCCTTAACAGTTTTAGAAGGAGCATACACCCCCTCTGAACTGCTCACAGAACCTCAGCCCTCAAACGCTTCCTCTTGTAAATTCTCCTTGCTAACAATATTTTCACTTTCAGCGCCCCATAGAGCCTAAAACCTGAGGAATGATTCACTCGAGCTGAGTTTAGTGGAAATCCCTGAGCCCACATAGCACATGGCCTTTCTTTAAATGTTCAAACAAATGGGAAAACTTTTTATTCCTTGAACCATTTGTTATAGCACAACATGCATCTCCAAAAGATAACATAAAAGTATCAAATAAATAGATCCATTATACTTTCAACTTCGAGCTGTACACATTTTATCAGAGAAGTTCTGGAGATTATACTCTCATCACATATTTCATTTCATAGTGGTCATTTACCTTAGTTGTGAAAAAAATCTTCACTTGTAACAGAAGTGTATAAAATATGACAAACTGCCAATCAGGAAAATTATGCAGCTTAACATGGTCAAATTTTGCTTTTTGATATAAGTTCTAAAAGGCCATTCTCTTGAGTCACCACAGCACATCTGCCAGTCAGCATTTCATTTAGCCTTTTTGGAAAGGCCATCAGTTTCAGATCTAGGTTCTCTGAGATTCAGATCTGACTGCTTTCTTTCTTCAAGGAAATCACCAACACTACACTATTTTTGCCGGAGTACACATAAGGAAATAGTTTTTGAGACAGTCTTGCCATGTAGCACAGGCTGGTCTTGAACTCAGAACCCTCTTGATTCAGCCTCACTAGTGATAGGCGTTTAGTCCATGCTGGCCCACACTGGACTCTGCTTGTGGATTTTCTTAAACAGGAAGCTCATGGCCAGCATCCACAGCAGTACTGTGCAGAGCTATGAGGGCAACAGAGACAGTTCCTTGGCTCAGGTGAGCTTAGAGGACTAGGGGCCTGAAAACTCAGTGGCCGCCTGTCAATCTGAGGCAGTGGACCCTATGTTGTCTCTGGATGGCAAGGAATGACTAGTGAGGGTAGTAGAAGAGCAAGCAAAGCTTTGAGATATAAAGGCAGCTCCTGTAAAGAGAAGTAGGGTAGCCCAACGTGAGTTTACCATTTGCCTACGACCGGAGCCTGACTAGTCAAGCCTGCATGAAAGAGAAACTGAATGGCTCATCTACCTGAAGTGAATAGGCATGAAGGCTCCAGGTGGAGATAAGAGGTGAGAGGACATGGCCTGGCTACCTAGTAACACGAAGGAAAAGAGCTAGAAAGTAGGAGAGCAGAACTGGTGGCCAATGATTACCTTCTCAGTCAAGACATTATTGAGCACGCACCTCCTGAGCTTAACTTAGAGTCAGCTTTGCAACAGAGAGGCTGAGCTCTCAAGGACCAGGCCAGAACTCACATACAAGAGGGGATCTGAACTAAGTGTACAGTATATGATCTAAACTTTTTCTGGGTCTAGGATGTGCCTTCTGTGTACACAGAATGGGAAGCAACGTCTGCCATTACACAGGTGGCCTTCTGAGATCAGCTTAGGGATGATGCCTCCACAGAGCCATCCAAGAAAGCATCTCTGCCAGTTTGTAAGGTTTTTCTTCTCCAGGGGCTTCTGATCCTTATCTGTCAAACTAAAGGCCTTACTTTTTTCTACCTGCGACACAGGGATAATGAAAGGGTCTGTGTGAATTCTTCTCACACTCTTACTTCCCACCAAATACATTCCCTCAGATACAATTTTAGAAAGGACTGGACTGACAGGAATAAACTCATACTCTCAACTAAGTCAGGACTTACAGGACTCCTCACTATGAGTAGCCTGGTGCCTACTGCGTTTAGAGCTGCTAATAAACGCCTTCCCACACTGGCTGCATTTGTAGGGTTTTTCCCCAGTATGAGTTCGCTGGTGGACAATAAGCCGGGCACTCAGACTGAACCTTTTCCCACACTGATTACACTCATAGGGCTTCTCGCCGGTGTGCGTTCTCTGGTGCTGAGTAAAGCAGGAGCTCTGCCGGAAGGTCTTCCCACACTGGCCACACTCATAGGGCTTTTCTCCAGTGTGGGTCCTCTGATGAACAACAAGCACGTAACTCTGACTAAAAGATTTCCCACACTGCTTACACTGATACGGCTTCTCTCCAGTATGAATTCTCTGATGCATAACAAGATGTGAACTGCGATTGAATGACTTCCCGCACTCATTACACTCATATGGTTTCTCTCCTGTGTGTGTTCTCTGATGCGACACCAGCTGAGAGCTCCAGCTGAATGATTTCCCACAGTAATTACACTCAAAAGGCTTTTCTCCTGTGTGAGTTCTCTGATGTGCAACAAGCTTATAGCTTTGACTAAAGGACTTCCCACAGTGATTGCATTCATATGGTTTTTCTCCAGAATGAATTTTCTGATGCGCAATAAGCTTATAACTCTGGATAAATGATTTCCCACACTGAGTGCATTCGTATGGCTTCTCTCCTGTATGAGTTCTCTGATGTGCAATAAGTTTGTAGCTCTGCCTGAAGGACTTCCCACACTGGCTGCATTCATAAGGGCGCTCGCCAGTATGAGTTCGTTGATGTACCACAAGAACATACCTTTGGGTAAAAGACTTCCCACACAGATTGCATCTGTATGGTTTCTCTCCAGTATGAATTCTCTGATGAGAAACAACATGTGAACTCCGGGTGAAGAACTTTCCACACAGGTTGCATTTATATGGCTTTTCCCCTGTATGAGTTCTTTGGTGTGCAATGAGATGCGAACTCCAGCTGAAGGACTTGCCACAATACTTACATTCAAAACGTTTCTCTTCAGAATAGTTTCTCATATTTTGAGGCAGAGATGGATTTGGGGCAGTTTTAATACATTTATACTGGCTCTCTTTAACAAGAACCCTCTGTTGTTCACTGAGGATTATGTTATGGTTCAAAACTTGCCCACGCCCTTTAAAGCCAAAGGTTTTACCTTCTAAAGGCCCTTTTTTATGCAGATTTAGGGGTATACCATGGCCAATAGGTTGGATACAACCTTTAACTTCATTGGATTTATCTCCGTTTGGGGCTCTTGTGCACTGAGTGAGATGAATGCCCGGAGGGACTTTTCCACATGTGTCATTTTCAGGGAGATCTGTGTTATCACTACTCTTCTGATACCTGTTTGCAACAGTGTCACCATGTAACTTTCTAATGTGTGATACCTGTTTATGAAAACGGGTTCTGAGTGGTATCATGGGGAAAGAAACCCGGCTGGTACTCAGGCAACTCCTGTCAAGTTCATCACCCCTGTACACCGTCTCAGGAGGACCAGCTCTCCCTTGAGTAAAGGCCACTTCCTCCTGTTTATCCTGCTGTTTATCCAACTGCTCCTCATAATCGCGGAACTCTTCACATGAAGATAGCCAAGGATCATCTCTTGCCAACCCTTCTATCTTCACTCCATGCGAGGGTTCTTCATCAAACACTGTCTGCTTTGAGGTTGTTTCGATTCCATGTATAGCTGGCAAGTCTGGAAGACGGTATAATAAGACATGTGTATTAGTCACTTCTATCACCATTGAGACCAAATGCCCAACGGTAACAAGCTTTCATAAGGAAAACTTAATGAAGACTGACTTTGGCCTAAGGTTCAGTCTGTAATTACTTAGCCTCAGGGGCTTGTGCAGAACACTATGTCAAGAGGAGTGTGTGGAGGGGTTCAATCTTTGGTAGCTAGGAATCAAAGAATGACAGAGAAACCAGAGTACAGGTATAACCTGCTAAAGTACACAAAGAAAATGACACCTTTCTTCACACCAGACCCTGCATCCTGGTTTCTAGAACCTTCTAAAAGAGTGTCACCTGCAACACTCACCACATGAACCTGTGGGGGTACACTTCATAACCAAACCACAGTCATATCCCAAATAGTTTAGCCCCTAAAAAAATTAATAGCTAGAATAGTGGGATAAAGCTTACAACAAACTGTACAAAATGTTTTGACTTATGTACCTATAACATGGATTGAGAAATGAAAAGAGAAATGTCAGTAAGTTCAGAAGTACCACAGCCCTGGCCAGGTGGTGGTGGTAGATGCCTTTAATCCCAGGAGAGGCAAGAGTATCTCTGAGTTTGAGGCCAGCCTGGTCTATAGAACAAGTTTCACAACAGCCAAGGCTACACAGAGAAACCCTGTCTCAGAGAACAAAACCAAGAACAAACAAGCCAAAAAAAAAAAAAAGTGTCACAGACAAACAGTATAACAAAGTCCTCAACTTGAACTATTTGCATCTTAACTTTTATATGAATAAGCAAGACTTAAAATGCCATGGACTTCCATATTTCAAAATAAAATCACCTATAAGGGGTTGGAGAGATGGCTCAGCAGTTAAGAGCACTTGCTGATCTTGCAGAGGACACAGATTCACAACTGCCTGTAACTCCAATTCCAGGTGACATGACATTCTTTTGCCTGGTGGCATCTGCATGTTTATAGTACCCATACTCAGGCCTACACATATATCCATGAAGCAAAAATAATAAATCTTTATGCAGAACCTAGAGAAGTTCAAACAAATTTAAAATCAATAGGAATAAAACAGAAGGTATGAAAAAATAAAATAACCTTTCAATTCTTGTTGGTGCTACACAATTGTTCACTGAAATGCTAGTGGCTATATTTCTAGACATTTTTGGAGGCATGAAAATGACTAGCACAGCACAGTATATTTGTGAATCCAGGAACTGGACTACCACATTACTCCAGTTCTCCAAACACTTGAGAGGCTATGGACTCTGGACAGAGATCAGAGGTTTGTACAGACCCTGAGCCTGAGTGTTAGGTCACTGCCTAAAGGGCCCATGTAGGTAAAGCAGTCATGCACACAGTCCATGAGACAGGAAAAGCAGCAACTACCAACGGGGTTTGCAAACAGACTTTCTGCAAATGTAGTGGCCTGCACGTGTGTGGTTTCTCAGCTGGCGTAACTGAGCTACCTACTCCTCTCGGTAAGTGCAACACTACACCAGGAGAATGGCTGTGATGACTTCCAGAGCACCTTGCTGTGTAGTCACAGTAATGAAACAATGAAAACGGTGACAGTGGGTACTGTGCTGGGAGGAAGCTGGTTGCATTCTATCAAAATGAAGATGCGGGAGAGTCACTGCACCCCGAGTTCAGTCACCAAATCCTCCTGCCCCAGCTACACCTGTCTTGGAAAAGGTGCTAGAGTAGAGTGGGAAGTCTTCAGCAGAGCCTGGGTTTCTGTAAGTTTTCTCCATACTAGGTGTGTATTGAAGACCTAGGTGCATTTCAGTCACCCCTGTTCCTGTAGTAATCCAGTAAAGTTAACTGTTTACCAGCTGGACCTGGTTGCAATTGTCTGTTGGAGCACCACTAAGGTTTTTTTTTCTGTGTATCTTCCTGGAAAAAGTCACAATAAAAACTGAACAAATGCATTAGTAAATTCTTTATATTCTTTGTCTTGCTTTAATTAGGGAACTGTGTGGTTTAAAAAGCTGGTAGAGAGGGCTGGAGAGATGGCTCAGAGGTTAGGAACACTGGCTGTTCTTTGAAGGGTCCTGAGTTCAATGCCCCAGCAACGACATGGTGGCTCAAAACCATCTGCGGTGAGATCTGGTCCCTCTTCTGGTGTGCAGGCAGAACATTGTATTTAAAAAAAAAAAAAAAAGCTGGTAGAGAGACTGGACTTTGGATAGCCACACTGGAGAAAGAAGAAAATCACTGAGTATGGTCCCAGGCTTTGGCCTTTAGGATCTAAGAAGACTGAACATGCTCAAACCCAATAAAATATATTTTATATAAATTTGCATTTTCAGGGTGGGGTCACCTGAATTAAAAAGTCTACGATGCTGAAGCACTGACTGCAAGAACATACGAATGTGCAGTGTTCTCCAACTCAGGTTTCAAAATGACTCCTGCTCTGCCAGTGCTCCCAAATCTCCAGGCACCCCACTGTACCCTCTCCCCAACACACTGTCCCCAGGCCTTCCAACGCAACCAGGCGTCAGAGTGTTTCCAAGTTTCTCCGGCCCTCGGGGACCCCAGCCTTCTCAGTCTCCAGGAATCCTCTAACCCGTCAAGGAAACAGGAGCAGAGGGGCACCGAGAATACCAGAGAGGGTACCGTGAGCTAGAGAATATCTGTCAGTGTCCACGGGCTGCAGAAAGGGCTAACATGCAGGAGTGTCAGCGAGGTCTGAGAACACCGGGTAAGTTCCCTGGGCAGCATCTCCAGGAACAGGGATGTATGGCCAGGGAGCCAGTGCTGCAGGTTGACCTTTGACCTTCACCTGCATACCACAGAATGTTTCTGAGCATACACACACAAAAACAAATGTGAAACAAACAAACAAACAAAAAACTGACCAACTTTTGTTTCTGTTTTTCAAGACATGGTTTTTCTGTGCATTTATTAGCCCTGGTTGTTCTGGAACTCGCTTTGTAGACCAGGCTGGCCTTGAACTCACAGAGCTCCACCTGCCTCTGCCTCCCTAGTGCTGGGAATAAAGGCGTGTGCCACTATACCTGGCTCGACCCCACAACTTCTTAATGGGAAAAAAAGGACCAGGAGACAGCCTTTGTTTAAAGCGGCTAAGTACTCACCCCACAGGCCCCTGTGGCCCCCCAGGATCAAAGTTCTCTCTGGGGTTTTCTGGGCATTGTTCCAAGTGCTCTGCTCCTGCTCAGTAGGGTCCACAGTCACAATCTTGAAGTCTCTGCTTTCCTAGAATAGCACACAGTCTTGCTTAGCTGAGCACTGCCTGCTTTTACTTTTCCATGCTCGTGGAGAAAACACTCACCACAGGGCAGTTACCCTTAAACCATCTACATGCAAAGCACCCTAACCAAGCTCAAATGCACTGCCAGGTCCAGATAGTGGACCTGTTTTTATCCTTCCCAGAGGAACGACAAACAAGTAGTACATGGATTCTCTTCATCATCTTTACTTATTAATTTCAGGATAGGGACTGAACCCAGACCCTCACGCATGCCAGGCAAGCACTCTGCCACGAAGCCAGCCTTTTCAAAAGCTGTTTAAGGGCTACTGAAGAGATGGCTCAACTCTCAAGAGCACCTGCTGCTGTTGCAGAGGGCAAGGGTTTTCCCAGCACCATGTGCTGTCTCACAAATACCTGTAACTCTAGTTCCAGAGAATCTGACATCCTCTTCTGACCTCAACAGATAAAAGAGGCACACATGTGGTGTACATTATATACACAAATACTCATATACATGAAATACTACAAAGAAATCTTTTATACTATTTATGTGAGTGGCTGTTGTGCCTCCATGTACTTATGTGTATGTATACGTATTTATGTATTTATATGTAGGCAGTGCCTGCAGAGGCTGGAAAAGGGCATCAGATCCCCTGGGACTGATCTTACTGACCCTTGTGAGCTGCCATGCTAGGAACAGAACCTGCTCCAGAAGAGCAGCCAGTGCTCTTAATCACTGGGCCATCCTCCAGCCCCTAGATTTCTATAATTTATTACCATTATGGGTCTGTGTGGTAGAGGGGCAGGAGCCTGCCACAGAGGTATGCTGAGGTCAGGGGAATAGGCTCAGGTACTGGCTCTGGCCTTCTCTCTTACTGAAGAAGAGCTTTCTTGTTTCTGCCATGCTGCATGCTCCAGGCTAGGTGACTTGGCAGGTTCCTGGAAAATCTCCTGGCAAGATGGATATTTGGGCTGGTGAGGTGGATCAGAGGAAAAAGGCACTTGCCACTGAGTCTGACAACTTTGGGGTTCACAGAGGAGAAGGACAGAACTGACTCCAAGAAGTTGTCCTCTAACCTCCAAAAACATGCTGTGGCTAGTTTGTGCGCACACACACACACACACACACACACACACACACACACACACACACGAAGGACAGAACTGACTCCAAGAAGTTGTCCTCTAACCTCCAAAAACGTGCTGTGGCTAGTTTGTGCACACACACACACACACACACACACACACACACACACACACACACGCTCGCGCTCGAAATCCCAAGTCCTTTTGCCTCATAACCCTGTGCTCCACTAAGTTGTATCTACTGCCACTCTCTGAGATCTGGATTCCATCTTGTGACTTCAGCATTGGCTAAGTCTAGCTATCAGGTAAATCTGGCCCAATGCCTGATTTTCTAAGTATGCGTTTATTGTAATTTAGTACTCCCAACGGCTTATGTATTTTAGGTGACTTATTTCTAAGCATCAGAGTAACTAGCAAGGAGACTGTATGATCCATAAACCCAAAATGCTTACTCTCTGGCCACTGATATAAAAACAAAACAAAACAAAGCAAAACATAAAAACATTTCTGTTCTGTTTGGTTTTGGAGAATATGGAGGAAATCCCTAAGTGGAATTCACTAGTGCAAAATTCAGAAGAAACTTCTTTAATGTAGATGAGAAGAAGGAAGGAAGGGGATATATCTCTGTTGAGTGGTAGAGCCACCAGCGAGTGGCTAATGGCCTGAGGGGTGTGGTAAAGTGGTAGAGCCCCTGCCTAGGATAACCCAGTGAGGGGCTGGGGTGTGGCTTAGGGGTAGAGCCCCTGGCCTAGAATCCCCCAGTGAGGGGCTGGGGTGTGGCTCAGTGGTAGAG